TCAATTTATGTACATATCAATTTGTTGTATTTGCATATCAATTGATTTATGTACATATCAAATAATTTATGTAAGATATCAATTGTTGTATTTGCATATCAATTTAAGTGCATATTGGTTTATTTATGTGCTTCTCAAATAATTTAAGTGCATATCATTTTTTTGTTTTTGCATATCAATTTATTGTATATGCATATCAATTAAATCATGTGCATATCAATTAACTTATGTGCATATCAATTAACTTATGTGCATATCAGTTTATTGAGACCATTATTTTGTCAGCTGTTGACAACTATCCCATTGTGACAACAACTTCAGTTTGTTTGTCCTTTAAGGTTGATTTTACCTTGAGTTTGTAACTTTTCTTTGAAAATATTATTTCAGGGTTTCAACGTAACCCAACAATTAAGAAGAATATGTCTCTACTCACCTAATGTTTACCTGAGAGATTTTCTGGTGAGTGCATAATATTATTTGTTATAATTTTGTAATTTCATTATAATATTAATTTTGTTGTCATTGCATTATTTAACAATCTGCATTTCTTTACATTACCCCATATTTAATAAGTAAAATTATATTTTGTATGCATTCAGGTGGAAGAACTAAAGAAGTCTGGTGATTTAACTGACATTGAGTTGTCAATGGTACACTTTGTGTATCAATTAGAGAGTCTCTACACGTGCAGATCGTATGATAAAGCTAAAAGCATTGCAGAAGAAACCAAAAAGCAGTAAGTAATGATTTTATAGCTCACGAATGTCCCCTGATCTCCAACTGTAAATGAAGTCACATCTGTATAGTTAAGTTTTGCCAGAAGATGTGCTGAGTGAGGCAGTGGCATGCAATAAATACTTAAATGCAAAGCTCTGTGAGTTATGGAGATGTGGCTATACCGGTATCAAATTAAAGATGCCTGATGTATGTGTGTTCCATTGATATACAAAGAACCTCTTAATGGATTTTGATGAGACTTGGTACGTAGAGGCCTGGGACAATGTGCAAACCTGATTAGTTTTGGGTAAAAATCCATGCATAGTAATTACCAAATTTGCGTAATGATTAGTCAATTTTTGGCTTATTTCAGGTACTGATCAGCACATTTCAATGAAACTTGGTACATACATGTTCTAGGACAATGGATATACGTGTTTAGTTTTGGTTTAAATCTGTGCATATTAATTACCTAATTTACATATAGTAATTATAATTGTTTGGCTTTTCTCAAGTTCTAATCACATTTCAATGAAACTTGGTACATTGATGGTTTGTGACATTAGTTTAAAATTTACACTGAAATATGTGCATATTAATTAATTACCTGATTTGAATAATAATTTTCAGTTTTTCATTGTACTTATTTTAAATGAATACATAAATACTCTATAAGATAATTGCAACAATCTAATTAGTTTGGAGTTTATTTACATCCATAATCATTACTAATTTGCATAGTAGTTTACTTTTCAGCTTTCTATCGTTTTTTTAAAGAATTAATCCTCACATTTATTTATTTAAAAAAATAACATCCCATAATTCCTTTGTGCATTGTGGAAGCCCCATTTTAATGATGTATTTTTTGTGATATTTGCAACAGGATCTGTTATTGTTGAATTGACATCTCATTGAATTCAATCATGTCTTTTAATGCACATTCACCATGATCACTATGCTCACACATTGCCTAATACTCGCAACCCAGAAATTCTCAAAACTGTTTCTCCCATCCACTTTTAGTTACTGGGAAAATATCATCCGGTTGTCACGGATACCAACCATGCAAGCTAAATCAGTGATGAGTTCATTGATGAAAACAGGTGATATCATGCCACCTGATGATATGAATGCAGAGAGTGGCAATTATTCACATATTGTATTAGAATGGGTTAGAGACTGGGATGAAGAAACAAGACAGCGGATACTATTGGACAGAATGTTTAACAATACAGGTATTTTCCTTTGTTCCTCTCATAATATATTTACTGGTTAACCATTGTCATCATTGACCCTTAACCTTTTCACCACCGTTGTCAACTTTGACTCTTAACCCTTTCACCACCGTTGTCAACTTTGACCCTTAACCCTTTCACCACCGTTGTCAACTTTGACCTTTAATCCTTTCACCAGCATTGTCAACTTTGACACTTAACTCTTTCACCACCATTGTCAACTTTGACCCATAGTCCTTTCACCACCATTGTCAACTTTAACCCTTAACCCTTTCACCACCATTGTCATCTTTGTCCCTTAAACCTTTCACTAGCATTGTCATCTTTGACCTTAAAACTTTTCATCAGTGTTGTCAACTTTAACCTTTAAACCTTCACCCCCACCATTGTCAACTTTAA